TTCTCCTTTGTCCTCTTCTTGTCCTTCTACTCCTTGTTCTTCTCCTTCTTCATCCTCTTCTTGTCATCCTACTTGTCGTCCTCTTCTTGTCCTTTTGTCGTCCTCTTGTCCATCATCCTTCATCGTTCTCTTCTTGTCCTTCTCCTTCTGTCATTTCCCTCTTCAGGGTCTCCACAGCGAGTCCTCCACCTCACTCTGTCCTCACTCCAACTCCCTCCATGTCCTCTCTAACTGTATTGTTGTTAGTTATACGCGTCTATAATTTCATTTAATCATGATTTGAATAAAACCAGCTGAAGTTTATTAATATAGAGACTGAACTGAGGCACTTCAGCTTCACTCCGAGCGTTGCCTTGACCTGATCCCACCTCGCTGCTTTATCTGGGTTTTATAAAGCGGGACGCAGAAGCTCCAGTGTAGCACTTTATCTGCTTTTGTAGTTTTACAACTCTTTGATCTGAACCTTCTGTCAAAATGTAAATAAATGGTAAATGGACTGTAAAGTCCCTCAAGCCAACCAGAGCACTCAAAGTGCTTTACAAATCAATCTGTGCCCTCATTTATCCATCCACACAGATCCATGCAGTACTCTACTGCACCTCTACAGAGCTAATCTGAATAAATCACTCTGTAGGGTCTAGTCAGTGCTTTGACCACATCCAAACATCGATGGGGCAGATCAGAGGCAATGAAGGGTCTTCTGACATGGGACTGTATGGTGGTGGAATCAAACCCCCGATTCTCTTGTTGGATGATGAAGAAACCACTTAGCTACAGCCACCCCACTTCCATGGTATAACAATGCTGTTTGCAACAAGTCTGGCAAGTTGCACATGACTTGGTCATAATTATGTATTCTGCTTGTGGGGCTGAATACTGTTTTCATAAATCTCCCAATTGGTGCATAAAAACATCGTCTTATCAGATTTTTTTGTTGCTTTTCTGTATGACTGAATACAGATGAAGCTCCAAATGTCCTCATAGAACCACCTGCACACAGAGTAACGAAGTCTCTGGCGTTTCAGGGCCAAAAAAGATGCACAGCAGCTCGAGAACTCTGCTGCTAGCAAGACGTTTTGTAGGTTTGACTGCAGTCTGATGCAGATTCTTTGGTATAAATGGTCACACTGGGAACAAGAGCTAAAAGACTAGCTAGAAGCTAAAAAGGAACAAATCACTAGCTGAAAGCTAAGAAGAAAAAGCAAAATAGCTAAACGCTAACAGAAGCGGAAGAATAGCTTGAAGCTAAATGAGGCGAAATGCTAGATTAAAAAAATCAATTGTTTAAATAAAAAAAAAAACCACTAGTTAAAAAAAAGAAGAAAAATTTTAGGTAAAAAGAGAAAATTGTTAATAGCTAAAAGGAGCGGAACACTAGCTAAAACGCAAATAGAAAAAAAAATTCTAGATAAAAGTTAAAAAAGAAAAAAATCACTTGCTAATAGCTAAAGAGAGCAAAACACTAGCTAAAAGCTAAACATAGAACAGCTAAATGCTAGCAAAAAGTTTAAAGCATGGGGCTTGCAATAGAGGGACTCTGAACTAGCTGAGTGAAGATGACGGAGCACTCGCCACTCGTTCTATTTGCTGGAATTTTTCACGTGGGTGGTGTCAGCTTCATTCAGCTGATCTGATCTCACATGATTTAAAATATGACAGAATCCGACACTACAGGTGCTGGTCATAAAATTAGAATATACTTCGCCACTTGCTCTTGCTGAGGTCGGACGTTTTTCCCTTCCCTCCCTCTCCGCTTTGCTTTGCTGCTCTGTCTGTGAAACTGCTTCTGAGCATCTCTTGCATATCTTCCGAACCATAATTATGGACTTGATTTGATCAGTTCGTCCCTCAACACAATTGATAACATTTTTTCGAAGAGAA